CCACAGGCACCGGCACACACATGATGCACATACAAACATATAGGCAAAACATTCATACACATGAAAAAGTAAAAACATTTTTATTTATTTTATGTCTATAAACGCTCTGAGTATGTGTATTACAAACATGTCTGGCATCTACAGAGATCAAAAGAGGGCATCTGGGCTGGGTGGTGGTGGCGCACGCCTTTAACCCCAGCACTGGGGAAGCAGAGGCAGGTGGATCTCTGTGAGTTCAAGACCAGCCTGGTGTACAAAAGCGAGTTCCAGGACAGCCAGGGGTACACAGAGAAACCCTGTCTTAAAAAAACAAAAACAAAAAAAGAAAAAGAAAAAAAGAAAAGAAAAGGTGGCGTTGGAGTGTGTGAGTTACCACATGGTACTGGAATCAAACCTGAGACTTCTAAAGAACAGCCAGTGCTCTTCACCACAGAGCCATCTGTCCAACCTGGCAAATTATCAAAGAAATTGGATAATGAAATAAATTATTTAAATACAGAGCGTAAATAATAGAAATCTGGAGCAGGTAAAGGTTATGCAGTCACAGGTACAGACTGCAATGATAATGAATGCTGTCTGTGACCAAAACTGCAAAAATCAGGCATCAGCTCCCCGGAGGTTTCTCTGGTGATGTTTGGTTTCAGCCCAGTGAGACTGACTTTAGAGCTGCTGAAAATCTGTTCTGAGCCAGGTGGTGGTGGCTCAAGCTTTCATCCGAGCACTCGAGAGGCAGAGGCAGGCAGATCTCTGTGAGTTTGAGGCCAGCCTGGTCTACAGAGTGAGTTCCAGGACAGGCAGGACTACACAAAGAAACCATGTCTGGAAAATACCAATAGATAGATTGTAGTAGCATCTTGCCTTGCCAGTGAATTTGTGTTAGTGGCCACACCCCTTTGGGTGTGGCTTCAGGTGTGGATGTGACCGGAAGGTAGAGAAGCGTGGGGCGGGCATTCTCTCTTGGGTCTCAGATCCAATCGGAAGGGAAGAGATGGCATCTTTTGGAGGAGGAAGGCCATGGGCGGTTCTTTACTATTATCTTTGTAAGTTGTTCCCCAATGAAACATCCATTTATCATTTATCTTGGGTCTAGTGAACTCATTAATACCCTGCCTTCCATGGATGGATGGATGGATGGATGGATGGATGGATGGATGG